GAGAGAGAGAGAGGTGGGATGGGGTGGGGGAAGGGGGCTTTGGGTGGTTCGACAGCGTACTGGAATGCAGTCACAATGGCAGTGGGCTCCCGCTCGATTTCCCCGACGGAGCTTGTAAAACAACACAAAACAAAAACATGAAAAGCTCGTGCTTTTTCAAAAGTCTTTACCGTCGTTGCTCACCTGCATAGTTCAGTTTTATAATAGATTGACGTTGTGCTGGGGTTCACGCCTCATAGATCGCTATACTTTGCTGAAAGAATGTTAGTTTCGTTAGATGGAAGCCCCTGACTATTGGCATAAATGATCTGGAGAGAAGTAGACTTCATAGACAGTCCGCTTACATTCCAAAAGCATTTTAGCGTTTTTGTTAGGTGAGGCATTTGGCTTTTCACACACAAAGCATTATGTTATGTGCGGCTTGCGGGTTTTCTGGTATGGTTTGCTCCTTGTTTCTTATCAAACATCTGTCGTCTTTACCTCTCCTCCTTTTTTAGGTGTTTGTTTCTCTCTTGTAATGCATGTAATCTTCGGCACTTATGTGACCTAATTATGTTGCAAGGGCAGAAACACTTTTACTAACACAAAAAGCTTGTGTTGGATTCCTTCGTTACAAATGTATTTTATCGAGTAATGTCTTTTTTTTTTCTCCAGTATCTCTTATTCGTAGCATAAATCATTGGCTATGGGGATGTAATTTATTAAGTAGGTGCAATGAAATTTCAACTCTAAGGTCGAATTATATGAAAAACAGTAGTTATATTTAATTTTTAGTATTTGATTATTTATCATGTTTTTTCCGAAGCTTTTTTGTCGTCTATTCTGAACACTCCCCCGCCCCCTTCTTTTTCATATACTGTATCTTTCCCAATTGGCTCGAACATAGCGAGTGACTCCTAGATTTTGAAACTGTGTTTCACCGATCCCATCAATTAATAATTATATTGCGAACCCAAGAAATCATATGGGGGCTGCTTCTAATTGATGACATTGTTAAAATATGAAATATCCAACCCTGGCTAGACGGCAGACAACAATCGTATGGCTTGTTTTTGGTTTCTGTCTTCTGAGATATGGCCCACGCGCGTGCGCGCTTTTAAGCTTTAAAAGGCCGGGTTGAAGCTACCTGCCTTCTTTACGATCCGTGATAGTTTTCTTTCTACGTTTGTGTCCACGACCAGTATTTGTTCATTTATCACGAATTACAAACTTTAATAGATGTGCACAAGTTCTTTTTTTTTTTTAGTTTTGGGATGGGGGTGTTTTTTTTTTGTTGTTTTTTTTTACAGAAGGAATTATTTTTTCACCAAAGTATTTATCGAGTTTATCTGCAGCCTTTGTCAGGTGGGATGCTCTATCCTAGTCGGGCGGGGATTGGCATAGTCGAAACAGCCCGCCTCGTAATTTTCTTATTTGTGAGAGAACTTAAAGCGCTGACACTCAAGCAGGCCTGTCAGAGAAGAGATTGATATTGAGATGTAGGTCCTGGCCTTCAACTTTTAATATACACCTCTCATTCCTCCTCGGTACGCAACCAGTTTTATCATCGTCCCTAAGTTTTCAGCATTACAAACTTTCCGTTAAACTCCGCTCCTAACGTATTTGTAGAGGATAATATTAGACTGAGTAAAAACGTATGGTCAAAGCAATAAACGTACTAATTATTTTAAAAATTGCAATGATTTTCTGGGGTTTGGTAGATTTTTGTTACGATTGTAAACAATCGAGAGATGCCCTGCGCCCGCTGTACTGGCGCGCTGTATAATAAGCGTGAAGTGTTTTACTATGTGGAAAGGGACCATGAACTCACACCACAACGCGCCTATCATAACTGTCGTATAAGTGAAACAGCGCTCTCTGGTGGGGGGTCTTTTGTGATCGTCCAAATATTGGGAAGAGCATAAAATGAGTGTGTTTGTGTGTTTAGAGATACACGTAATGCCCGCGTCAGGGGGAATAAAATGAGCGTGTTTCTGTGTTTAGAGATACGCGTGGTGCCCGTGGCAGCGAGGACGTGTGTTTCCGTACAATGGGCAGGCTGTCTGTGTGAAAGAGAGACATGCGGGGATGTTTGCACGACCTCGGGGCCCTCCGGGGGCTTGTGGCTTGCCTTTGGGGGCTGAGAGAGAGAGAGAGTGAGTGAGTGTGGGGGTGTGTTTGAGAGAGAGAGAGAAAGAGAGAGAGAATGTGTTCGAGAGAGAGAGA